TTCATCATGAATTGTGAGCATTTCCATAAATCAACTTTTGGTTGAACTATATAAACCATTTTAATCTCCTCTCACTCAAAATAGTCAAATCATTTTAGTATTTAAATCAAAAGACCTTATAAAAGAAGCCACTTCACATATACCTGAGGATACTCAAATTGCAGGGTGAGGAAGGTGCCCTCTCAATGACAACGAGGTTGAGGTCAGCTAGCACACCTAGAGGACTTCCTGTGAACTACTGTTCAGGGTTCCGCTCACTGAACATTTCATCTGCATCCGAACTTGATGGTCTGTCTTTAGTTGTCATGTTCATTTTGAGGGTTGAAACACTAATAAAGTAGAATGACTGTTTGTATAATCTTTTTTCCCCCCATTTTTCAAAATGCTTAAATTGATGATAAATTTTACTGCTAAAAGAAACTAATTGGCTTAATGATACTTCTGGTCCACTCTATCGTGGATTGATGTAGAACATTGATGTTTCTTATTGCAGGAGTGTCACGTCAAGGCTTTTCTCTTGAGGTCAATGCCCAAGACTATGGTTTTCAACCGACAGATACACCAAGAACCGATAGATCGGTAAAGTGCTTGAGATCCTTTGTGAATGTTGTCCCTCTTTCGTTGCTTGCATCTGGTATTTACTAAATATTACCCTGTATGTCATTTTCCCTAGCATCTAGATTGTTCCAATTTTCTGGAATGTCCAAGACAGACTTCATTTTCTATTGTAGTGTGTTTAAAATTTGCATTGATTGCCAAGTTTTTCTTTTGTTCCCTCCTCATGTGATACAGCTGATAGTAATTTCCCTGGTCTCCAGATCAATCAACTGCGTTTGATTATTTATTTATTGGCTGAATGTGTTATTTTCTTCTGTCAGTTCTCTGTGCTCTAACTTGTCTCCTATCCCCTGTCTGCATAAATCTTGTATGCATTTTATTGGAGTGTTACTAGTAGAATGAAAAAGGTTTTGCATAGATAGATGGTTTCCATTTCTAAGCAATAATATAGTTCTACTTCTGCGAGGTATTCTCCATTGAGCTTTCTTTTCGCTACCAGGAAGGATAGATTTTGAAAATTGCAACAAACTTCTTGTATTACATAACTGACGTACCTCTATGCCAGTAACAATATCGACTCCTTGCACATTCATGCATTACTAATTTATTTAGAATATATGGAGGGGCCCAAATAGTTGACCCTTTACCAGCATACTTTCATTGAGCTTGGCCTTTTGAGATACCTAGACTGAATTTTGACTTGTAATGATGTACTTAATGTCGATGCAGCATTGTCTGTTGTATCATTAATGGCAGGATGTCTCCCATATTTGTGGTCTGGATGCTAGCAGTAATGTGTTAAAGCCATGACTTCTAATCCTTTCTCAAAATTTAGGTCTCGAAGAATATTGAATTGGGTTTAGCAGCTCTTGGTGGAGAAAAGGGACCGGCATATGATCGAATTGTCTTAAACGCTGGTATGGTGGATCACTTGCTTGGAGTTGATGGTGCTGAAGACATATCTGTAGCCTTAGATAGAGCTAGAGAGGCCATTGACAGTGGTAATGCTCTTAAACGGCTTTTAAACTACATTAAGATTTCCCATGAAGTGGATTAAACTAGTCCCGAGTGGTAGAAGTACTTGTCATTTACAATGCACTTGATATGGTGATCATGATTGGAAGAGGAAGGAAAATTATCAGATGGATAAACCCTTATCCAAGGGAAAGGATGATAGAAAGAAACAGTTCTTTTACACGCCATTTTGGTAGTTTAGGTTACCCTCAGTGTAAATGTACCTCGTGATAAGGAATCACGAGTGATTTTGAACCTTACCAAGTGACGTTGTCTTGTAAGTATTCGAAACGTCATGCAGTAAATTTTTTTTTTTTTTGTGGGGATACCTTCATACAGTCAATTTTGGATATTCTGGTGTTAGATGGTTCTTTCATGTAAAGACCGTAAAGATTTGTGACTTCTTCCTGGATTTGCTAATACGGAGTGAAACTGTGTTTTCATTATATTACAGGAGATTGAATTTTTGATTGCTACTCCCACTTTATGATCCTGTGGTTTTCATTTCTTATGATTTCTGGTTAAAAAATATTTCTTATGATTGTAGACTTCATAGTAAATGTTGGGTACTTTTCATTTTCCATCGTTTTACTTTTAAGGCGTCATGCTCAGAATGTCGTCCAATTTTGGTGCACTTAATTGGGAAATTTTTGTCGTCATGCCGATCAAGTTCATAAGTAGTAATGGGGATGTATGGTGAAAGTGCTAAAAGGGTCAACTATGTTAGTCAACACGTGGTTTCAACACGAGTTTGCTAAACAATTGAAAAAAAGAGGAATAAGAAAGAAATTCTTTGTTCTACTTCGTTTGAATGTGACTGATACAGTGATGCTCTATATGCTCTATTTTGATTAACATAATTTAACTAATTAGAAGAATAAACAAAGTACTTGTATGCAAGCTTCTTGAAGAACCGTGAGAATTGCCCACATTTCTGCCACGGTGTTGGGATAAAATCCGATGTGCCTTGCAAAGCCAATCATCCGGGTATCTTTTGCATCTCTTAGCTGTCCCCTCACATCTTACTCTCCCTTGATTCGTACAGGACCTGTGAAATTACGATATGCTTAAAAATACTTTGAAAACCTACAAACTTAATATTAAAATAAAAATAATTTTATAAATTAATATATATCTTGAAATCAATTGTAGATTCTTAACATTACCGAAACCATCAAAATCTGAGGCAACATCATTTACAGATAGAGGAACATTGTGAGCTGTGTGGATATGCTTCTGAATGCAGAGAGCACCAATTCTTGAAGTGTGAGTTTGCTAGAGCTCCTTGATGGGTTTGCAGGACTTGGTTGAGAATGATCGTGGCAAGTTTAAAAAGTAATGGATCAGCTTTATCTTATATATTATTTGGTTTTATAAAAGAATGTTGCACCTGGGGAAACTAAAGAGTAAATTTAGAGTCAATGACCTTATAATCTAATGTCATGAAAACTCCTGTGTAAGTGCGAGGTTACATATTTGATCTTGTTTGTAATTTCAAATACTTTTAATTTAAAAAGAAAAGAAAAAGCCAATTCAAAATGCAATGAGTATGACATTGACTTGACTTTGAAATGGCAAGGATGTGCTCCTGCTCAATTTAGAAAAGAGCAGGTAAGGAAGCTTAGGGTCCTAGCACAGATTAGGGAAAGGAGGGTGGTTCATTTCAATTTCATCTTACAAAAAGAAAATAATGGGAAACGGGAAGAGTTGCTTCTCATCGACCACAATTTTCTTCCATCGATTAGAGAATATGAAATGGACTTCGTACGCTAATCTTCCAGCACTCAGAAGAGCTCTTTGTTTCCTGAAGCATCAGAGAGATTTTTGGCCAAGTTCCTTGCGTTTAATTAAATTTCTGATGAGTATTAATGTATTATCCTATTTTCTCTTATAATTTCTGATGAGTTCATTGATATTACAAATAATGTTCCAGCGAGTGTTGGAAAGAGATTGTGTTCATTTATTTACCTCTTTTATTAACTCTAATCCTAAGAACTAGATAAGAGATTTATTTTGATCCTCATTATAATATCTTAATTTATTTTGTTTTACAAATTTATAATTTTCTTTAAAATGTTCCTATTGATTGCATATAATAAATAAATTCTATGAAGGGTTGATTACAATGCATATGATTAAAAAAAAATATTGCAAGTAAATTAATGCATATTTCTAATAAAAACTAAACTAAATTTCTTAATATTTTCAAATTATTTATCTAATTTTTATTTTACAGAATAGTTTGTGTTTTGCTTGAAGATACTTCAATGGCTAACTCAATCGAAATGATGTTGAAGATGTTTCCTCCATATTGTGCATTCAGGACTATTATCTTTTCTTTATTTTATGTAATCCGGCATAATTACTGTCTCTGGGTATTTGTATGACTTGGTTACTTTAGACCACACACACACACACGAATGATTTTGGAGAATAAAAAAAAGGAAATGACAATTTGGACCTAAAATTGCAAAATTTCGATGAAGAATTTTAGCTTTCGCTGACATTTAAATGCCAATTGAGAAAAATACTCATATACACATATAAATTAGAAATTCTAGAAACAAAGTTGAAAGTCCTAAAGTCTAAGTTGAAATAATTTTCATATTCATTTTCTAATTTTAAAAATTACATATGTTACGCTGAAAGCCTGAAAGAGAACAATATATTCATATTGAAAATTCTATAAGAATGAAGATAATTCCCATTGAAACTTTCAATAAAATTTTTATTGGTAGGAATGGTTCTCTGAAAAGTACAAGAAGAAGAGATAAAGAAGAAAGTAGTGTACAATATCTTCAAAGCGTGGGCAGTACTTTTCTTTAGACTTAATTCGCTCCTACCTATTCCTATCTTATAAAGTGCAAGCTGGGATGCCTGATGAATTTCTTTCAGGATACAATGAAGACCCTTGAATATGGATTGCACTTTCAAGATTCAAGTGAAGACAATAATGGCTTTTACAAAGTGATAATTTGACTCTATCTCTGCGTACACTCTAAGACAAAGACAATGAGTTTGATCTTAGTGTTTGTGTTGTGTTATCTTTTGTCTCAGTGAAATTATGGTGAGGGGTTTATATAGACCATGATGCTTTGAAGAAATACATTTTGAAATAATACCTTATTAATAAAAAGTCACAACCATATGTTGGTTCATAAACCAACATAATTTAAATAAATACAATGTATTTAATGTGTATGGTCTTTTAGAGTTTTAACTTCCTACATAACTCTTAATATAAATATATTAATTTATATGAGAACACAACCCTTCAAATAAATTTATTAATTTATATGAAGATATCACCCCTCATATAAATTTATTAATTTAATAAATTTATATAAGAACATAATTTTTAAAAGGGAAAATGACAGATAAAGAAGGCTGAAATAATAAAATGCCAGAATAGGAAGCTAAGCAAATGTATTACCAGATAGGGAAGTGTTGCCTGATTTGGGATTATGCAAATGTTGCACAATTACGAAACAGCCCCTCATATGCAAACCGAAAAAGTGACCGGTGGAAGTGTGCAAGTTGTGGCGGGAGCTGGAGGAAAAAGTTGGGAGGGACCACGAACGTGGGAGCATGAACGCGCGAAGCAACAACTGAACGACGGAAGCGAGGTTAGTATCCAGTGACTATATTGTTCGCCTGTGTCTTTTGTCCCTCTCCTTTATGCGCCGGTTGATTTTCCTCTTCCCGTTGGATGGCAATGTCGTCGATGTGGGGATGGTTTTGAGGTGGAGAGGGTGGCGAAGCATGGAGACGGCGTGGGTATATAGAAAGTGTGGGGGGAAGGACGGTGATCAGAGGGTGAATGCACGGGGAAGGAAAAACACTGAGGGAGAGGGGTTTGATGGCGTCACAAGTGGGTTAGAGTGATTAGTGTCAGATAAATGGACAATGTTGGAGGGAGATTCGAATAATGGAGTGGATTGATTCTGAGAAAATGAAGCATTAGTGTGGACAGGAAAGAAATGATTGTTTTGTTGCAAATTATAAGCATAAATGTGTCAAACCCTAAGTTGGTCGTGTAAGTTGATGATGATGGTATTAAGTCATATAATCATTCGACTTCTGTTATGTTATCAGTGCAGGTAATGAAGATAAATGAATTTCGAAGCTGGGTCATCTTGTGGGAAGGAGCTGTTCTGTTATTTTCATGTGGGGGGGAAATTTGTGACAAATGGTGAAGGTGAAGTGAGATATAATGGAGGTGGCGTGAGGTTAAGAAGCATTAAGGATGGGCTGACACTTGATGAATTGAGGCTAATGATATCTGAGTGGATTGGTGGCGATGGAAGAAATTATGACATTAAGTACACAGTGGCCTTTGATGAGAAGACATTGATTGACCTTCATGACAATGCTGAAATGTATAACCTCTTTCAATACAATGGGAACAGCGGTCATGTGTATGTCGCCGAAAAAAGACAAGTGGGTCCCCAACCAAGGGACAATGTAGAAATGTAAGTGGAAGTTTGTCCTAACTATTTGTTGTCATTTATGAATTTCTTCTTGTCATTTGTGTTAACGAGTCTTGTCATTATGAATGCAGAACAGAGAGATTCATGGGCATGTCACAGCAAACGGAACTGGATGCGTCTCCCATTAGTTTGTGTTGTGATTATGGCTGGCTCAGTGAAGAAAATGCTCGTGAATGTGACAATGATGAAATAAGTGGGCCCCCTAATGTGGATAAATCTATCGGAGCTGAAGATACGGATGGTAGTGAGATGGTTCATGCGGAATGGAGGGGACTTTTAACAGGAGTGGGCCAACGTTTTCCTAGTGCAGATGTATTTCGGGTGTCTGTATACAAGTTTGCACTTGCAAACAAGTTTGTGGCCAAGTATATGAGGAATAGCAAGGAATTCATGTCGATAAGGTGTAAAGTTGAGGGTTGTCCATGGAAGCTATGTGCAAATCATGTGGGGAAGAGTTGTGATGTGCTACGAGTGACGACATTTATAAACCGGCATGTTCATTCTGCCCAAGATAGCTTGGACGTGATGCATAGTGGAAGAGCTAGTTTGAACTCATCAATAATAATTGATGAGATGAGGGATCATGCAGACAAGCGCACTTCTGAGATAAGGAAGAGGTTGAAACGAGAGTATGGGATTGATCTAACATATAAACAGGCTTATAGAGCAAGAGAGAAGTCACTGGAAGACATATATGGCAGGCCTGAACAATCATACATGCTCATACCATGGCTATGCGAAAGGATAAAGGAAACAGATGAAAAATCAGTGGCTGAATGGACTGCTATTGGGAACCGGTTTGAGCGTGTTTTCATTGCCTACGGGGCATGCATTGAGGGTTTCTTGGGTGGCGCGAGGCATATTATGTATGTTGATGGAACTCACTTAAGCGGACCATACAAGGGGACAATGTTGTCAGCTTCAGCTTATGATGCAGATAACGAGCTGCTGCCATTTGCAATTGCAATTGTGAAGGGAGAAACACTAGATGACTGGACGTGGTTTTTCTATATGATAAAAAAAATCCTGGGTTCTGTGGAAGTAACGATTGTATCAGATCGACACAATGCTATCATCGGAGGAGTGGCATCAATCTTTGGGGGTCAAAGGCATGCCTTTTGTTATAGACACATCAAGGAGAATTTTAGTTCAGAAGTTATGAAAATGAATAAGGGGCAAACAAGGACAAATGGCCGATCAAAGGAGGATGCACTATATTTATTGGATAAAATTGCATACGCAAGGACGGATGAGAAATTTGAGGCAGCAATGGATGACATGAGATCCTTTTCTCCAAGGCTATTTGATTGGCTTATTCATCATGGGGATGTAGATAGGTGGGCTAAAAGTAGGTTCCCATATAAAAGATGGGACAATATTACAACAATATAGCAGAATCATTCAATGCATGGATGGTGAATGAGAGAAAGCATACTGTACCCCAATTGATCTATGAGCACCGAGATAAAGTTGCAAGAAAGCTGCATGCCTCCTATGTGGGTATGACCAAATGGAAGAATTGCGTTGGTCCAAATATAGAGAGTAAGGTGCTGGATATGGTGGCTGGGTCTGACCATATGTATGCTGAAAATTATGGTGGGGGAAGAGTGAAGGTGACAACATCACGTGGAGACCATCGGGTTGATCTTGGACTACACCAATGCAGTTGCAGATCTTGGCAAATGACGGGGATCCCTTGTTCCCATGCTTGTGCTGCCATCAAGATTGTGCACGGCAATGTTTATGATTATATTGATAATTGCTATAAAAAGTCATCACAAGAAAAGATCTATGCTCGCAGTATGATTCCTGTGGTAACAACAGACATGCCTCACCCAAATGACTACTATAGAATAGAAAATGTCAGTGAGCAAGTTTTCTTGCTACCTCCCATGACATCCCGACCACCAGGAAGGCCAAAAGTAAACAGGGATGAATCACAGTTCCAGAACAAACGGATATACCACTGTGGAAGATGCCACCAGCCTGGACACACAAGGAGGAATTGCAGAAATCCTAACCCATCATGAAGTTTCGAGTACAGTGGGGATGGGTCATTTTTTGGTGTACATAGTTGTATGCTCCGCCCTTGTCAACTTTTTTGGGACTGGGGTTGTAGTTAGGAGCTAGGTGGAGACATTTTTTTGTAAGTAAGCTGATAGAAATTTCAGTGATAACGGAGCATTAAGTGTGGCTAGTATCTTAATGTCCACTTGTTGAATACATGAAAGGAAGTTACTGTTATGGGGATGTTAGCTTTTGTTAATGGCGCATTACTTGTTGTCATTTTTAAATTTGTTCTGGTCATTGGCAGTGATGCTATCAGCATAAGCTGACAGCCGTGTTGAACTGATGTTGTAAAATCAGACCAGGTTATCCTTGTCATTATGGCTGTCATATTCGCTTCACATGGTGTCATTTTTAAATTTGTTTTGGTCATTGGCAGTGATGCTATCAGCATAAGCTGACAGCCGTGTTGAACTGATGTTGTAAAATCAGACCAGGTTATCCTTGTCATTATCGCTGTCATATTCGCTTCACATGGTGTCATTTTTAAATTTGTTCTGGTCATTGGCAGTGATGCTATCAGCATAAGCTGACAGCCGTGTTGAACTGATGTTGTAAAATCAGACCAGGTTATCCTTTTCATTATGGCTGTCATATTCGCTTCACATGGTGTCATTTTTAAATTTGTTCTGGTCATTGGCAGTGATGCTATCAGCATAAGCTGACAGCCGTGTTGAACTGATGTTGTAAAATCAGACCAGGTTATCCTTCTCATTATCGCTGTCATATTCGCTTCACATAGTGTCATTTTTAAATTTGTTCTGGTCATTGGCAGTGATGCTATCAGCATAAGCTGACAGCCGTGTTGAACTGATGTTGTAAAATCAGACCAGGTTATCCTTGTCATTATCGCTGTCATATTCGCTTCACATGGTGTCATTTTTAAATTTGTTCTGGTCATTGGCAGTGATGCTATCAGCATAAGCTGACAACCGTGTAGAACTGATGTTGTAAAATCAGACCAGGTTATCCTTCTCATTATCGCTGTCATATTCGCTTCACTTCGTATCATTTTCTGTTGGATACCAACAGGATATATTGAAGTAAAATTTAGTGACCTGAACAAAAAATGAAAACCAATAGCACATGTCCAATGGGGTTGTTGTCATCATCTGTTTTTGTGTGGTTAAAACCAGATTCATTCATGTCACTGGGGAATACATTGGCATCATGGTTCTCAACTATCATACATTTATGGACACCAATCTCTGTTAACCATAACAATACACAGTAAATTTTTGGTCAGCCTACAATGCACATTACATACAGCAATCTAACAGAGGACAAGTGAATTATGACCCTAACATCGAGACACCTAAGACCGACGCCTTTTCTTGGACTTTGTGCTCTTGGTTGGTTGTGGTCGTCGAATAAGGGCCAATGCCTCGTCACGTTTTTCATTCTGTTCATGATTGACCAACCACCATGTCAGGTCACGACGAAAGCCAGCAACTTCTTCCTCTGTGTAGGTAAGGGTCACACCAGGTTCCCATCTTCTCAGCCACATCATGCAGTGCACCCCACAATCCCTCCTGTGGACGCAACAATATCAGCACAGTTAGTTAACACATTTGACATGTGCATTTACCCCACAGAAATCGAATTTGACAAAACTGACAGGTTATTCTGCTGGGGAACTTCTGCAAATATCATGGGAGACATTGGCTTTTTCCCAACCAATCCTGGCTTGACCAAGTCCAGTATAATATTGAGCCTCATCCTCTGCAACAACATTCAGGACCAACATAGAAAGTTTAATGATTTTCCAAGTTCAAAAACTAGGGTAAAGATAATGAGTTTTTTCTTACACAATCATCCACAGCCATTTCCACTGGGTCTTTGATGACAACCTTCTTCTTTGCTTTCTGTCCTTGGTTCCGAAATGGTTCCTCATGGAGTCTATTACGTGGAAATCCAATGTGCTAGGCTGAATGGCAACGCAAAACCAGTGTTGGCCAACAAGAGCAGGACCAATTATGAAATCACATTCAGCTAAGTTGTAGCCAAGGAACTCAGGAAGAAAGAGCTTCTTATATTTTTGGGCTTTCCAAGTTGGATCATGTGCCATCATGTTCTGCATGACATGAAATTGTTAATCCATTAACAGAGAACAAGTCATTTCCAATTCAATTGCTGTCATTGGTATTTGCATTTGGAATTATGCAACCTCACCATGAAATCAACATCGAAAATGTGCCTCTTCCCTGGCCCCAACTCTGCCTTCATGTCCTCCATCACTGCCTTGCACACCAAATTAAGCACCTACAGAACACAAGTGAAAACGTCATTCTGATACAATAATCTCACCAAACATTATCAAACACAATCGTGGGTGCAGGGACAGAGCATTCTAAAATACCCTGTTATTTACTCTGTTCACTCCACCCAGGGAAAACAGCTGTTGTCGGTCTATATCTTCATCAAACATTTTGATGACAGTCCTGCAAACATTGTCAGATGTCAGTGACAGAAAGTATGGTGTTGGGGACATCAATACTTGTCATTCCCATGTATGTTATTGTCATTTTCAATCCTATTGCTGTCATTGTCAGGGCACACTGTGTCATTTAAAAACAAAACACTAGCTACGGATATACTTACATATTCCCCTCTTCCTCTCCCTTGGGTCTACGGGATATTAAAGTGAAAAAGATGTCCCTTTCCTCCTTTGGCCTCTTCGTCCTCGGAGCTGCCTTGAATTCTATCCACGGAGATTTAATTGTGGAACTCTTTGCCCTTGTTGACCTCCTAAGGTCAATCGATTTTTCAGGCCCTCCTTCCTCCCCACTGTCACTGCTCACCCATTCTCGATCCAACAGCAAAGGAACATTGGTAGGGGTCATTGTCAGTACATGTGTAGCTTCCTCACCCTCATCATCTGAATCCCGAACCTCCTTATCATCATCTTCGGCCTCCTCAACCACATAATCATGACTGACTTCCATGTCATCATGGTCATCTTCCTCCTCATCAACCACATGACCTCCTTCCCTGTCATCATGGTCATCTTCCTCCTCATCCTCATCGTCGTCGTCATCACCTCCATGACCATCACGGTCACCCTCTTCTTCCACCTCCTCAACCATGTAATCATCACTGACTTCCCTGTCATGAAGGTCATGTTGTTCTTCATCCTCATCCTCATCCTTCTCATCATCTCCTTTGCTGGTTTCATCCTCATCAAGTTCCTCATCTGCACTTCCCGCTGCAACCTCTCTTGCAATCTCCTCCACCACTCGGTCAACATCATCAGCTTCTTCAGCATCGTTACCAGCTGCATCACCAACTGTTTCAACCCCTTCTTTAGCAGTGGCATTCTCATTCCCCATCCCCTTAACTTTGGCGTTCAATCCAATCTGCAGTTTGAGTAGCTCATCATCAAGAGCCTTCATTAACGTCCTCTGGCTTTCTTCAAGCTTCTTCACAAAACGAGCCCTCAACTCCTTCAATGCCTGCATACACAGTAAATGAAGATATCAAAAAAATTGTTCACTGTTATCAAATGCCAGTATCTCACTGGTCATTTCTAAATAAAGTCTTGTCATCTCAAGTATCAACCTTGCTAATAGACTGACTTAAACTCAGGTCACGTATATTTTCTAAGTTCCCACATACCGGATCTAAAGACTGCAAAATTGGACTGTCCTCATGTCCTGCTGAGTATACCTCGCTGCCACTGCTTCCATGCAATATTCCCATGCTGCTGCCTCTCTCTTTCTCCACCCTCTCCTTTATCTTCTCCTCGGTCCAATATTCAATGGCGCTTGTTGAACCCCGGTCAACAGACAATCCCAGCGGGAAACGCTCAACAAAATACAGCTGCAAAACCAAATAAAGATAGGTCACACTTCTGCAACAATAACAAAAGACAAAAATATAGTGAACCATAAGAAAAATATTGACTTACCAGCAGCAAATAAAGACACCCTCCAACATTGCAGGTTCCTTTCTTCTTCTTCTTTGTCATCTTCACAAAGTCTCCCATTTCCTTCCACAGGTTCTTGATTATGTACGTTGACCAATCATATTTCCCAAACCCATTCATCGTGTGACGCATCACTTTCAACAAACGTATATGTACAGTTGTGCTTGACCCAGGACATAGAAAAGCTCCAACTGTATAAAGCATAAATAGGAACTCAAAATTGTCGCTTTCTTCCCCAGATAATATCCTCTTCAGTATCTGGGTAAATGGAACCTTCCAATAAGTGTCCTTCAACCTCTTGTATTCCGGGTCATCCTCACTAACATCAGATTTCACTTCCTCCCCACTGTCAGGTACACCTAGAAACTCATGCGCATCTTTTGCCTCAATTGCCTGCCCTTGCCCTCTAATGGTCAAAAAATGCGTTGGTGGGTCATAGCATCTCAACAATGACACAAGTAGATCACGTGGAAGTTGCTTCACATTCACATTAAGCAAGTTCCCAAATCCCATCCTCTGAACTTTCTGCCTCAACCGCCTGTTCTTCTTCACATATTCAGCCAATGATAGAAATCCGGGCAATGAGCACCGGGTGTACAAGGGAACATCATACTTCTTCTTCTCACCTTTCTGTGGCTTCGTTTTCCTTGCCCTCTCATTATACCTATCTTTCTCTTCTTCACTCAAGGCCCTCCATGCCTTCCCCACTTCAATTTTTTCTTCTCTTGCGTTTTTACACTTCTCACCTCGTTTTGCCATATACTCCCTTCTGAACAACACAAGCCCACTGTGGACTCCTTTGCTTGTGGACCCTTCCCCTTCTTCCAACATCATCTCGTATAGTTCTGCAAAGTCATCAAGGTACCATCATTAAATCATAATTTTAATACATATACTACACATCTAGTTCTTTCCAGATTCGTTATGGTCATTTCCAATTAATTCATTGTCATTTACAATATGGCCATTACAGAGTGACAGTAAGGATGCTGGTATGAATATGGTCGTTTCCAGTTAATTTATTGTCATTACCAATATGCCCATTACAACTAACAGTTAGGTCAGTACTATGAATATGGTCATTTCCAATTAATTCATTGTCATTTACAATATGGCCATTACAGAGTGACAGTAAGGATGCTGGTATGAATATGGTCGTTTCCAGTTAATTTATTGTCATTACCAATATGCCCATTACAGACTAACAGTTAGGTCAGTACTATGAATATGGTCATTTCCAATTAATTCATTGTCATTTACAATATGGCCATTACAGAGTGACAGTAAGGATGCTGGTATGAATATGGTCGTTTCCAGTTAACTTATTGTCATTACCAATATGCCCATTACAGACTAACAGTTAGGTCATTACTATGAATATGGTCATTTCCACTTAATTCATTGTCATTACCAACATGGCCATTACAGTCTGACAGTAAGGTCATTAGTATGAATATGGTCATTTCAAGTTCCTTCATAGTCATTTACCAGTTTGGTATTGTCATTTCCAGTTTATTCATATAATCTTTCCACTCATTCAGACAGTAAGGTCATTACTATGAATATGGTCATTTTAGGTTCGATCATAGTCATTTACCAGTATGTTATTGTCATTTCCAGTTGTTCATATAATTTTTCCAGTCAATCAGACAATTTTCCTACTGATTTCAAAACCCATTTTTCCAGTTCTCAACTACGTTATTAAAAACAGAATAGCTTGCCACAGCGACTCAGCATAAACCCTTAATCGCCATTCCTGTCATTCACAAACTTCATCGCGTCATATCTAAATATTGCCCGATCATTGCTTCCCAGACTCACCCAGAAACGTCGACCACAGCACGAAACTTAAATGCCTGAACTTACCTCACTGAAATGCTGTTGATGCTTGTTAACTGCAATGGTGAATCACCGTGCGCCAACCTTCGTCTTTCCACACAATCAGTCAGACGCGACCACGTTCGCCCTTCGAACAGCACGCCCTTCCACTTCCAACTCCTCTGCTCTCTTACGCACACACTATTTCGGGGTCCTCAACTGTCCAGCTTGCCGGCGTTTTTAGGGCAACAATGGGGATGGTGGAAGCGAGAAACCGGGAAGCACGATGGTCAGTGCACGAGTGTTCGCGCGCGCCTTCTCTCTCTCCGCTTTCAAACGTTGACTGACAGGGGCTGTTTCGTAATTGTGCAACATTTGCATAATCTCAAATCAGGCAACACTTCCCTATCTGGTAATACATTTGCTTAGCTTCCCATTCTGGCATTTTATTATTTCAGCCTTCTTTATCTGTCATTTTCCCTTTTTAAAAAGCATATCCCTTCGTTTTAAAAATATTTTAACAATTTTCAACTTATATGTGAATATAGACATTTTTGTTTATTGACTTTCTTGAATTATTTATTGACTTTTTTTAAAACAGTCGTAATCGTAATAATGAACGAATATGAAAGTTCTTAAATGACATTTTAGTTTCAAGAACTTATTTTTCAAAACAAAATAAAGAAAGAAAGTCATTGCTGCCACTGATATGTGATGGCATCTTTACCATACATCGTTTGACAATAGGCAAAACAATTCCTTATGAATATTATTTTCTTAATAAGGTTAAGCTCGATCTAACACCCTAAAACTAGCACTTTAAATGTGGGCAAAAAAAATAACATTTTAAAATATTTCGTGATTTATTCCACATTCAAAAACATTTTTCAGTTGTGAATAATATCTTAAAATATTTTATGATTCATTTACTATGTTAAAATATTTTTTTTGAGATGTGTGCAGCATCTTACTACTTTAAAGACAAATTGCATTACAAAATATTTTAGAACGTTGAACTGATTAAGAAAACTACTTTAAGGTGTAAGATATACTGCAAAATGCTTTACATGCTAAACACATATTAAAAAAATATTTTAATGCGATGGATTAACTTTTAAAAAAAATTATAAATTTTAAAAATAAAATGAATTGGGTCATTGGGTGTGCTATAGCACAATTCACAACAAGCAAACTCGTGCATTTGACGGCCGAAGAGTTATAAATTTCACTCGGTTTCTATTTTGTCCGTCATCAGCTCCATCACTCATCTCTCTATGAGAACGTGAATAATTTCATTCCACGGCCACGACCCTGAGCGAGGGAGGTTAAAAGTTAAAATGGAGAAGAAAAGCTAAGCCACAGTTGGTTTGTGCGCAAAGAGGAGAATCTGATAAATAAATAGGAGCCACTCCTCTCAGAGAGAAAGTGACATCAATATTTGTCGAGCAGCGACTTCTCTTAAGGCCAGGGCTCTGTTATCTCTCAGGAGGCTTTGGGCCACATTTCTTGCTCCAGCATTATCCCTTCGATTTTGATTTAGAGACTCCAATAATCCATTCAAATCATTCAGTGGTTCTGCTTCTGCCATTTTGTTCGCTTACTGCCACTCCCATTTTAAAAAAAAACGTTCCTTTTTCCCATTATACAAATAGGAAAAGTCTATATTCCGTCAGACACGCATAACGCTCTATACTACTGTGTTGGGTTTCTTGCTGGACATTACAAGCGGCTCGAAGCCAACCTCACAGGTAACATTTTCTATTGCTTTAGTTATGTGAAATACATTTGTTGTGAGAAAGCTAAAAAGCAAACCTTTTTGCCTTTTCTTTGAACTGGGTTTGTGTTTTGTTCTCTTAAACTTGAAGGGTTCGTTCATAATTCTGGTTTGAAGTGGCTGTACTCTGCTCTGAGTTGACTTCGATTTTCTTCGACGTTTATCGTTGTGTACTGAATATTCTCGTTTTTATGATTATGTAATCATGTCATCGAAGCCATGTACAGTCGTTGTGTTATAGGGTCAATCTGAAAAGTGAGAATTTGATGAGTTCATCTGTTCTAGATTATCAACTTGTAAAAAGCTACCTTCTCCGTGTTTATCTTGGGAATATAGGTTTGTAATTATACGGGCTTCTGATCTAATTGGATTTGCTTCTGCAATCTTTGGGGTTCTAACGATTCTTATATGGAAGTGACGGGGACTATATGGGACTTGACTTATGGGATTCTAACAAGTCTTAAATGAAATTTGGGTTCTCTATGGTAGCTTTTGTGGTGCAACTCTCCAGAAGTTCATATCAATGGCAGGGAAACGTCGATACCAATATAGGTAGCGGATACAACACTAACATGGTTGCAACAACATGATGAAGTGTGTTTGGGATCTAAAATGTCGAATATGTGTGTGTGGTGTCCAACTTGAAAGCCCTACATGTTTTGAATATAGACACACTTTTTTCACGTGTCTGTTCATCTTGGTAACAAAGCTTTGCACTACCTTTCATCCTCGTTCTTTTTTCCCTCTCTTGATTCTTGAGCGAATGAGACGTACAAGTTAGAGGGCATGGAGAAATGTCATGACCCAGTTCCAAATATGGGGCTTGAGTCCCGTGTTTACAGTGTAGAACTTTAATGCAAACTTGTATAAACCTAGTTCTTTCCAACTTCATGAGCCAGCTTTTTTCTCTCTCAAATAGTCATATAATTTCTATGTTATTGTTAATTTGTCGCAGTTACATTTCTTCCATTATAGTGAATATACTATTCGATTTCAGATATAACAAAATTTGATCTTTGATGATGTTATGATTTGAAAGGAGAACAAAATTCAGTGAAAGTCTAGTCATGAAACTGTGTCTTGCATTCCTATGTTTACTTCACCAATTAGTTTGAGTTCTGCAGCTAACATGTTCCTGAATTAAAATATTTTACACGTTAAAAAATATTTTATCTGAGGGCTCTTTTCTGCTTTACCTTTTTCACCCATTCTCTTTAAATCAATCAGGTTGGCAAGGGACTTTATTTGTGGCCAAGTTTTTGGCTTCTTATCTAGTGACATCTGCAAGAAGTCTTCTGCTTCACCATGCCTCCAAGACCCTTAGACTATGAGTCTATAAATGAAAATGTGAAGAGGGCTCAATATGCTGTTAGAGGTGAATTATACCTTCGAGCGTCTGAGCTTCAGAAAGAAGGGAAGAAGGTTAGAGTGTTAAATTCTTGAGAAAACTTATGCTTTTGAATGAAATGATCTTAATGGATATAAACTGATGTTTTATTTTAATTGTTTTGGCAGATTATATTCACTAATGTTGGCAACCCGCATGCTCTCGGACAGAGACCTCTGACCTTTCCTCGTCAGGTCTCTCTGTTCATAACACGTTTTCTGCCTTCAACTGCTATCTTGTAGTTTTCTTACTATCAAGAACTAAACATACTCCTTACATAATTATAGAATGTTGAACTTTGGTATTTGTTGACTATGGTGAACCGAAGTAATTTTTCTGTTGCAGGTTGTTGCTCTGTGCCAGGCTCCATTTTTACTAGATGATCCAAATGTTGGATTGCTGTTCCCTGCAGATGCAATTGCAAGAGCTAAACATTATCTCTCAATGACTGCGGGAGGTCTAGGTATTGTTTTTTAAGTGCTGTTCAATATTTTCTGGCTAACTTTGTATTCAAAATAACATGATAGAGTCGTATACAATCTGTTTCTCTTTGAAAGTTTTACATAGAAATCTACATTTCTTTTATGAAGTTATCAATGTTTCAGTTGTACACAATCCTATGTGAAAAAAATTCTGGAGTACAGTTGTGACACACAGAAAACTGGCTTTTTTTCAACTTCTTAAAAATGGAAAATCCTCATAGGTTAAAAGCAATTTTCCAAATAAGATCCTGGAGAATTTTATTCACAAAGATAGTGCAGCATGAACATTATGTGCTGAGCATAGATTCTGTAATTTTCTTCTTCAAGTTATTTTTTTATTCTAGTAAAAGTGTGACCCTATTTTTAAAGGTCCAATATGGCATTTATATTTATCTGTCCAATTTTTCCTGTCAAGTTTCCTTCATTTTCCTTGGCCAAGGACCATAGATCAATTTTTAATTAAGCTGTAAAAGAAATTGATTCAGAAATTGTGTTCCACTAGCAGAATAAGGGGAATTTCATAGTCGAACAAGTTCTTGCCTTAAATTGAAAGACTTAATTACCAATACCATTGAGTTTCTCTCGATCCCTCTTAATAGGTTCATATGTTGGGAATTTTGTTTTTAACATGAAACCTTCCACTAACAAACTGGAGAACCTATTGTATATTTTAGGTGCTTACAGTGACTCCCGAGGCATTCCAGGAGTAAGGAAGGAAGTTGCAGAGTTCATTCAAAGGCGTGATGGTTATCCTAGGTAATTATACCCCATGCTAGCTCCATTTCTTTTTCCACTTTATCCTTTTTAGGTGTTCTCAAGTCTAGTTTGATATTTGTTAGGTAAATGGATTAATTACTTCTTGCTCAATTGACAGCGATCCAGAGCTTATATATCTCACTGATGGTGCCAGCAAAGGTGTAATGCAGATCCTAAATACCATCATCCGAGGTCAAGGGGACGGGGTAATGCAGATAGTCTATTTCTTAGCACGTCTGTTTTGATGTTTTCTGTATACACATTGCCATTTAAAAGTATTTTCCTACACTTTCTTTTGCCAGGTTTTGGTTCCTGTCCCACAGTACCCACTCTACTCTGCAACAATTGCTCTCCTTGGCGGTTCTCTTGTTCCATACTTTCTTGAAGAGACAGCTAACTGGGGTCTTGATGTTAATGAACTTCGTCAGGCAGTTTCACAGGCTCGCTATAAAGGAATAACTGTATGTGTTCACGCTTTTCAATATGAAACCTATGAACCTTCTCATAGTGAGAGTCATTTGTTTCCTAATCTGATTTCCTTGTTACTTCTTAAAATGACAACCAGAATTGACTTGGCTGGTTGTTTCATCACCAGAGAAGGCAGCGAATAAGACACTAAACTTGCATTGAATTATCTGTTCAAATGCAATCCTAAAATGTCTTAATTGTTTCTTGTGACTTTTTTCAGTCTATTGATGATCTAGTCTATTGCATTGCATGATTTAAAGATTCAACACTTAAGTTCAAGCGCTTCTGATTTATCAAATCTCTTCCTGTCCTTTTATGTAATGCCTTATCGTACTATTAAACTTGGTAAGAACTGAAATTTGATCAGGTAAGGGCAATGGTGATCATAAATCCTGGAAATCCAACTGGTCAATGCCTTAGTGAAGCTAATCTAAGGGAGATTGTACAATTTTGTTACCAAGAAAATTTAGTCCTGCTTGGAGATGAGGTTTACCAGCAGAATATATATCAGGATGAACGACCTTTCGTTAGTTCTAAAAAGGTATACTGTGTTATGCTAGCTAACCTGATGTTTTGCTACTGACGTTAAATTGAGCAAATACTAAACATTCATTTAACACAAGCAGGTTTTGATGGATATGGGGCCACCTATGAGCAGGGAACTCCAGCTAATCTCTTTTCACACAGTGTCTAAGGGATACTGGGGGGAATGTGGACAGCGGGGTGGATATTTTGAAATGACCAATATTCCTCCTGAGGTTTGTCTTTTAACAACTCTTATTTATTGCTGAATTTCAACTTTATTATCCATCTTAAAACTTGAAATGAATTATGAATTAGCCCACAAGACTAGGCCTTATGGCCAAACTCATATGGTCTACCCACAGCCCTAAAAGGACTAGGCTGGCATTTAGAACATTTCAGAGCCAGGATACCCCTAATTGACTCTTTAGTGACCTTCCATCTTTTATGTAAGGCTTACCTTCAGTTTATGATGTATCTACCCTGCTGATACTTTTACCCTTGATTCTCCATTTTTCTACAGACAGTGGATCAGATTTATAAAGTTGCATCTGTGTCACTCAGTCCAAATGTTCCAGCACAGATATTTGTGAGTTGGAGCTGAATCCTTAATGTTATGATTTTTCATTATGGACTCAGTATTTGTTCACATTTTCCCTCCCATTTCTTTCCTTCAATCTCCACTTTGTTCTGCAGATGGGGTTAATGGTCAACCCGCCCAAACCTGGTGACATTTCTTATGACCAATTTGTTAGGGAAAGGTAAATATATGCTTAGACTAAGTTGGTAAACTCAATGTTTTCATATATATATATATATATATATATGAACATGGGAAGCAGAGTCATATGGCATAAAGACCTCTTGAAGCTGTGAACTGACAATTTTTACCCAAATATGCAGCAAGGGAATACTTGATTCACTGAGGAGAAGAGCAAGGTTGATGACTGATGGATTCAACAGCTGCAGAAATGTTGTTTGTAATTTCACAGAAGGTATGGACTGTATGCAAATGAGTGTATACTTTCTTATGTTTCTCCAATTTCTGAGACTTTTTTTTTTTTTGGGAGAATTGTTATAAGATCTCAAGGAATGAAGATAATTACTATCAAGTCCTATAACAACTAAATAGCTTGTAATAATAAGTTGCAGTGTAAGAAATGACATGATGTTTCAAATGTTTACTTGTTATTGGGACTTTTTAATAATTATCATCCTTCTCTGAGACCTTACAATAATTCTGCCCTTTTTTTGGGCCTGGCAAGCTAATACATAGATGAATACTTTTTTTTTTTTTTTTTTGGTTCAGGTGCCATGTATTCATTCCCTCAAATAAGATTGCCACCTAGAGCAATAGAGGCTGCAAAACAAGTTGGAAAGGTTCCCGACGTATTCTACTGTCTCAAGCTTCTGGAAGCCACCGGCATATCTACTGTTCCCGGTTCAGGATTCGGACAGAAAGAAGGGTATATATATATTCCTCTAGTAAACTTGAGTTGAACTAAAATGTTTCCTTACATTACGAAGTGATCTAGATAGTAATCCCTACCACTCACCATGTATGCTTTAGATTGTGTTTTTTTTTCTTTTTCATCCATGCCTCAAAACTAAAGGGCTTTTGCATAGACTACATTAAACACTTGATCAACATTCATATCTCTTGTTTGCCTACTTTTTTTATACAATGAAAATGTAATTTAGCTTTCAGCTAAGAAATTGGCTCATGATTAGTCCTCCACCGTCATACATGGTGAAATCTCCTGCAATAAGTCTCTGTAGATTCAGCAATAAGTTTTATACTTCTAAAACAAGCCTTTATGGACGAGAAAAAAGATTCCACTGTTGTTCTGTTTCTAATGAAGCTACTTAACTTGCAGGGTCTTCCATCTGAGGACTACAATTTTACCAGCGGAGGAAGAGATGCCTGCCATTATGTCTAGTTTCAAAAAGTTCAATGATGAGTTCATGGAGCAGTATGAAGACCACAGAGGTTATTCGAGGATGTAATAAAGCATATCATTCGCAAAGTTTGTATAATATCCCTAAGCTTTTTATTTCATACACTTTTTAAACGTAACCTCCTCTGCATGAGGCAATCTTTTTATCTGATGACAATGATTCTCTTACTATACTTTATCCTCTACATCACCCAAGCGAATCTGGCCTCTCTAGCAGTAAGTTCTTTTATTAATGGTGTGGCTAAACTAAACAGTTGTTTGAAAATGAAAATTCCCATTCTTAAATTCTGTTGATAAAAAGGGATAGGACCGTCACCTAAGATGACAGTTTTAGAGAAATAAATTCGTACGAACTGGCTAGCTATTTAAGCCTACGGCTACGAGATGATAGATGAGTTTATAGTGGTTCATGAACCACCATCGGACTACGACATCATATTATATTTAGACTTGCATGCTAAGCCTAGGTTTAAGGTTTTTTCATTCCTCTTTTATATGACTCAATGTCAGGGAGCTTTTCATAGAAAACAGCAAACAAGCAGCCTTATCAAAATTATAACGCATGTATTATGTTTTACTCTTCAACTTCAAGATTTTTCTTTACAACTTAAGAGTTAATTTCTTCTCTTAACTTGATCAAAAATACTATACCATCAACCAAAAAAAAAGAAAACTTGTATTTTAGGATTTATTCTTATATTTGTATTTAGAATTTGAAGCTAGGTGTCAAAAGCTATGTAGTCTAGTGGCATTGATGTTTCTTTCTTAATGAGAAGTTGTGGGTTCAATCCCACTTATGATCTCTCAGGCCAATAGTACCTGTCTTTTTAGTTCCAAAAACAAAAAAACAAAAGATTTGAAACTAAGTTAAACAAATAAAAGCTCAAAATATTGATACAAGTCTATCCTTAAAAAAAAAAAAAACAAAAGATTTGAAACTAAGTTAAACAAATAAAAACTCAAAATATTGAGACAAGTTTATCCTTAAAGAAAAGTTTTGTGTCAACTATAGGTGTTCTTATCCTCTCATCCATTTCTTGTGACTCTGATACATGCAACAGATAAAAAGAAGAGTAATAAATATCTGTAAATAAACATTAAGAATAAACTATAAAGGACTGAAATCAATTATAAAGTGTAAACAGACATTAGGCATGTTTGATGCATATCTTTAAAAAGTTACAATATTCAAATCCAGTTAAAACAGTGTACACAGGTTATGGCTTTTAGGAATTAGGACTGATGATATTTTAGATAATGTAATTATTAATTCTTTGCTCGTGTCATGGAATACGTCATTTGGTGTAAAGGACAAGACCTTGAAGAATTACTAAAAGATCAAATAGATAGCCTAAGGGGTTAAGGAGATTGAAGAAAGATTCCAACCATGTGAACGTCTTATAAAACCAAACAACGTAAGATAGGTCCCCGGATTGCTCTTCTCTTCAAAGTTGTGAATGTGTTATTAAAAAAAAAAAAAAATTGTGACTACTTGTGGTTGGTAGGCTTAATTACACTTTAAATTAAAGTTGAACGATTGGATTGGAATAAATTGAAAAGTGCTCCAAAGTCTGAAACCAGTAAAAGGTTTTCTTGAATATGTTTTGCGTTTAAAACATTGGGGGTGCTGTTAAGTTCACGAGAATATTCCAGCTTAAAATGCATAAAAAATTAATAATAATAAAAATATGTCTCCAATTATATCCTCCAAACAAGAATCTCATCATAGATTAAAGTAAAATATACAATAGCGTCAATAATGCGCTTAGAAATGTGAGACCCTAATTACAAAGAAAACGACAATAACAATGTGATATTCACTAACTATTAGCCAATCTTCAATAAGACAAGATCAGTTTAAAGATTAATACTTCTTCTTACTCTAGATATAACACACTGTAAAATATAATAATGTTTGGTACAAAATGTAAACTATCTTATACTGTTCTTAATATAAAAGCTAGTTAGACATTCAATTTGGTCATAATATAAGACCACAATCTATTTTGTCTCTTATATCTATTCATTCTCTCAAAAAGAGTCATTGTAGTAATTGCACATATTAAATGTTTCATCAAACGATAGTTCCAATGAATACAAATGATTAACAAAAATATTTTAGAGAAAAAACGCATATTTATTACACATAACTAACTTAACTAATTTTCTTAATCTAGTCAAATTAGTCAATTGGCTCTTATATTAAGAACTAAAGATAGTATTAACTAATTTTTCAAACTTAATCCTTACTTTGTTTAACGTGGACTACTTGATTTATTTCGAAAACTTAAATGTATGAGGAGGTCCACATTCTAATTGATTAATTTTCAAGAAATTTCCCTTGTAGCGGACCAATGTTCAAAGCCTCGCTAAGAGAGATATCATTATTTAATGCCTGACAATACTAAGCAATAAGATTGTTTTTGATAGAAAAATACCTATGTCTAGTAAAAAAATTGAAGAAATTTTAATTTTAATTTCCAAAATATGATTGGTTATTTTTAAAAATTGGTGTCACTTCAATGTCGATAACAATAACGATTCGAAAATTAATGTAATAAAGAGAGATGTTTGAAAGAAATTGATACAATTTTAGACATTTATGTGCTCCACTAATTTTATTTATAAGTCAGTTTTAAAATATTTATTATAATCAAGGAAGACCTCAAACGTTATTAACTCCATTTTCAAATTTAATAACTTTTTAACTTTATTGAATATATCAACTTTCTGAAAAAATAATAATTTATACAATAATAAATGAAAGATAAAATTATACATTCATATAAATATTTAATAATATATAACTTATGAATATGATTAAAAAAACTTCTCTCTTTGACTTATATATAAAACAATAAGAGAAGCCAATAATGGTTAATTTAGAAACAAACTAGGTTTTCAAAAAGAATTAAGGACAAATAACTTTTTAATTATTATACATTACACACACACAAAAATGTGGAGGAGCTTTGTTATCAGCTTTAGGCAGGTGTGCTTGGTTTATGTCATTATAGTTACTGAAGCTTTTCACATGCAAAGCAAAGCTTTGTTTCCCAAATAGCATCTTAATTAGAAAAAAAAAACGGAGATATATGTAATTAATTAAAAAAAGAATACATTTAAAATTGGCAATCAGTACATCATTTAATGGGAACTAACTAGTTTAAATTTTGTATGCGAGGTCATTAACTCATTACTGTTGATGTACATTAATAAGACTTTAACATATTAATATACAATAAACATGATTGTACATGTTTCTAATTAAACACGCAATACTTAAATTTTATCTTTTTTTAGAATCATATTTAAATTTAATTTAGTAGTATTGAATACTCCTCCGGTCCTTATTATAAGACCCAGTTTGACTTTTTATTTGGTCCTAATTATAAGACCCAATCCATTTTGTCTCTTATATTTATGCATTTTTTTCCAAGATAATCCTTTTAATAATGATAGTTTTAGCCAATATACTTAATTAGCAAGGATATTTTAAAAATGACAACACTTATTTATTATAAATAACCAACTTAACTTACTTCCTTAATCTCTTCAAATAAGTCAATTGGGTCTTATAATTAGGACCGGAGGAGTATTAGATATTTGTACTATAAAAGAAATGATATATGAAATCCATTTTAGGAATCAAATCCTATCCACTTCCGTAATAATTAAGTATTAAGGACTACTTTTTATCAAGTATATAGAATTAAACAAATGCCCAATGATAACACCAAATCAGTACTATAGATTATGTTTGATATATAATTAAATAGTTCCATCCTTTCTTCAGTTGTTTATTCCTCAATCCTACCCTGGGCACTCAATGAGATCATCGGAAACATCTGGAAAGAAATATATATTTAAAAAAAGTATAATTAAAAAGGAAAAGAGAGGTGCATTGTATCATGTGTGGCAAAAAGGTCTTTTCATTAAAAAAGTTGATTTAAAAATGGCTTTAATTCAAAAATTAAGAATAAAATAAAGAGGGGAGGTTGGCGATCCCGATGCCCTGAAATTTTGGCGCCAAAAGCAAACTCGATATTAATTCTCTTCCCTCCCTCATCCATCTGATGAGCTGGCCGACGGGCGGTGGCACCCTTCTTCTCGGCTCCAACCATTGTGACCCTTTCTCATTTATTTCTCTTCTATTCTGCAACTGTACTGAGTTTTATTGGCCAACAGAATTTTTAAATTAAAGATCAGTATTTTAGTTTAATCATATTTTTCTTTTTTTGACCAGCATAAATCATATTTTTCTTGAAAAGTACCATTTTCATCTTTAATATGAATTATTTGTAACACCTTCTCATATGTTAAAAAATATATTTGATTGACAAAATTTTGTAACTTTATCTTTATTAAAATTTTCTCTATATTTACAAATCATTTTTATATTTCTTTATTTTTACTCTCTCTTCATTAAAAATTAAATAAAATTAAAATTAAAAAATAAGTATTAAATATATTACTAATGACTTGCCGTTAGGATTTGGGACCAAAACTCTAACATACAGGTGATATATATTTAGGATTATTGCTGTATGAAGCAGAAAGAGAAGACATTTTTTCTATTTATAGGATACTGAAAGAAATTTTTTATATGAATGTACAACCCTTTATTTATTATTGTGTTAACTTTATTTACATAAAATATATTGTATATTAAATAGGAATAAAGTTATAAAGTTATGAATTTTAAATGAGAGTTAATAAAGTTTAGGATTTTTTTTAGTCTATGTGAAACACGTTAAAAGTGACTTATAAATAGAACCAAAAGAGTAAGTTATTTGTAGAGAAAGGTTTTGATCTTAAATGTAAGCCATTTATAATTGCCCGAAAAAAAAGTTACTTATAGTATATCTAATGCTTTTTTTTTTATTGGGAAGAAAAAAGTAAAGAGAAAATATGAGAATGATTTAGAAACAAAGATAAAAATGAAAAAATTTTGTTAATTTAATGTATTCATTATGAGAATATGTTACAAATGATTTATATTAATTTTTTGGTAATTATATTCATTCATTTATTGAGACTTTATAACAATTCTCTCTAATTTTTAAGCAATTTGAATATGCGTTTGAAATTTCAAACTACTGAAAAATGATGAAAAACTGAGAGAAAGTGTATTTCCATGAATTACTTTTTGCGAATTTAATTAATTTTTCATAAGACACAAAAGTAATTTTCTTAGCAAATAATCTAACTTATTCCCTCCATTTTTCATGCATGTTGCGTTATGGAAAAAATCATGATTTAACATATATAAAGTATTTTGTGGATTTCTAAAAGGAATTAATACCTATAAAAGTATGTTAAAAAAATTTTTGATACAAAAAAAAATGTTAAAATTACTTACATCTCTTAGTATAGTTTATTTTTCATGCATTCAAAGAACGAGAAAGTTGGGAAAAAAAAATACTTAAAATCTTGAATGTCTTACTCAGGCAAAAATATCTTATACTACTTTTAGTCCTAATTATAAAATTTTGTTTATAGTTTATAAATAGAATCTTATAAATAAGACTGGAGGTAGTAACTACTAATAATAAGATCGCGCATATTTGATAGATAATTAAGTCTCTCGACCATCTTATTAGGAAATTTGATCATTGACCATGTATATGAAAAAATTATCATTTAAAAAGAAGTAAACCGCTTTTGTGATTTCTATATCTTGAAAGATTAATTCTTAACCAGTGGCTAAAGAGGAAGGGCTTTAACCTTCGTCTCATATTCAAAGTAATTTGAGGGACTTAAATCACACCAAAAAATTAAAAAAAATTATATTTAAAATGGAGGGATTAGAAAAATTGAAATGAAAAATGATTATAAGGTTTTAAAAAATTATAATTACTAAAAAAATCTCGCAACAAGTTAGTAACTTGTAATTATAAATTTAACTACAAAAAATAATAATATATTTATATTGCTTATTTGTTATGAAAATTTTTTAGCAACCCATAATTATTTTCTGCTTGGTAAATTCTTTTTTTGGTACGGATTAATAAATTCTTTTTATTAAAAAAGGACTTGTAATGATGTTTCCTGACGTCACGAGTTTCCTCGGGTTCTCTCTCGCTCTCATCTCTCATTGGTTGAAAACATACACCAATTTCAACGTCACTCTTTTCCACTTGTTCATTTATAAGCATCACCGTCTTCCCCATCTTCCTCTTCTCTCCTCATTCTCTCTCTCTCTCTCCCCTCTTCTCTGTGTCCCCTTTCCTTCAGCAATCTTCCTTCAAACTCTTCTATTGAGCCAACCCCGATCTTCCCTTCCCTCTCTTATTCTCTCTTCGCTTTTCACCTTCTCTCTTCCTTTCCCCTTTTCCCCACCCTCCTTACACCAGTCAACTCTTTCTTCTCACTTTCATCAACCCTTTTCCTTTTATTTATTCCCCACCCCGCCATCCTTGTTGTTCACCGCTCTCTGCAACATTATTCTTCGCCATGGGATTCTCCGAGAAGCCGCAGCTCGACGCAGGAGCTTTTGATTCTGATAATAGAAAATGGGTCATCGCCGGAATCGCCCTGCGAGCGCCGTTGAAGCCGATATATACCATGCCCGCCGCAGTCGTAGACAAACCGCCGCCTCAAGATGACAACACCGGCGACGGCGTTGAAACAGACGAGTGTTGCACGACTCCGACGAGCGAAGAAACCAGAATCCCCACCACCTTCACCTGCCCACCAGCTCCGAGGAAGCAAAAAACTCCTTCCAAGTTCAATTTCCGCCGCGGGGCCCGGCAGTTCTTCAACCCGCCGGATTTAGAAACTGTGTTCATACGCCGTGTTGAGAAGGCTAATTGATTCATTTATCATCTGTACTTTGTCATATGTACGTTATTGTTAGTTTTAAGTTTAAACCGCAATCTTCTCCGTTTGGTAGGACTACTTTGTACAGAAGCAATCTAATCTAGATAAATAAGAAAGAAAAAAACGACATCTTGTTAATGGATTACTATATATCTTTCGTTGAGTTGCGTAATGGCAGATTCATTTCTTACTTCTTACTTGTTCTGAATCAGCTCATGTTTGTGCTTAGCTTGAAATGGTAACGAAGACATATATGTATCGTTGTCGTGGCAGAGACTTTATTTGATTCCGGTTGGGTTATGGGGAGGTGGTTTTTTGTAGTGTACTGAGAAGTTTCTTTGTTGTGATGTGGGAAAGTGGCACTGTTCATGACCACGCGAAGAAGGGGAAGATGAGAGAGGAAATTCTTGTTGTTCCATAGTCAAAAATTTTCTGAGGTAAGCTGAATACTTACAAAGACAAGTAGGGGGGTCGTTTTCAATATGCTCCGGTACTATCTATAGGCATTAGGCAGGAAAAAAAAAAGACATTTTATTAGTAGTAGAATAGAAATTTTTTGTATTGATATATAATTTTATTTTTTATTTATTATTGTATTAATTTTGTTTATATGAGATATCGTGTATATTCAATAAAAATAAAATTAAAAATTTGATAAATTTTAAATAAAAACTAATAAAATTTATTTATTTTTTATTTTAACGTAATAGGAGCGTGGGAGTATAAATGGTAGACGAGGGTTGGCTGATGGTGCACGGCTTCCTTCACATTGTAATTTGAATTGACTCCCACTTCAAGTGCCTCTTATTGGCTTTGCATAGCTCCAGATCCTTCTTACTTCAATGCATCATTGGTTATCTGTCATATCTTTCATTTCAGGCCTTTGAAGCGATTAATTTGGGGTCTTAATACATGTCACAGTGATTTATGTGAAAGTACAGAAAACTAGACCCATTTTTGGCAATAGTTTAAGGATGGGGCTGGATCATTAATTGAATTGGAATTGATCTAGTAATATGATTTAATTAAAATATATACAAATATTTATATATAACTTTAAAAAAAGTGATATTTAAATAAAAAGAAACTTTTATGTATAAATCACACATATAATAATTTAATAAAAACATAGACAATGTTATTCCAAGTTCAATAAAAAAGAAAAAAAAATATAAAATCTAACCTAATTGATCTATTCGAAAATTCTGACAGGACAGGATTGATTAGGGGACCAGTTCATCGTTAGCTTTACAGGCTAATTCAAGTTTAATACCATACTAATTAAGAAGTGATGCGTATTAAAGATCAAGTGAATAAGAACTAGTCTTAGGCCAAACAAATCTAGATTGTCTAAACCGAGGCCAGACGCAATGGTTCAAGACGTTGGATTTTGTTTATTCTTTTAAACATACAAGGTCATGGTAAAATCCGTGCATACACACACACATACGCACACTTATACATGTATATATATTACTTCTGGTTCTAATTATAAGAGCTAGTTAACTAATTTGAGAAAATTAAGAAAATAAATAAGTTAAGTTAATTATTTGTCATAAATAGATATTGTCTTTCCTAAAATATCCTTACTAATAAAGTGTATTGGTTAGAACTACCATTATTAGAAGGACTACCTTAGGAAAAAATACATAAATATAAGAGACAAAGTAAATTGAGATCTTATATTTAGGACCAAAATAAAAATCAAATAAAGTTTTATATTAAGCAACGGAGGTAGTATAAAGTGAAGCAAAATTTGGAGACATGATCTGAAGCTAACCTTCCTAATGTTCACCGAAATTAAAATGAAAAAAATCTTAATAATAGAGTTTAGAAGCAAATTAAGAGAGGGAAAGTTCAGCGTAATGGAGATGTGGAAAAGCGACAGAGCACATGTAGAGGGGTAGGATTAGAATCCTATGCCAAGTTGGGTGGCCCTGGTTTTGCACTTCTAAAGCTTAGCTTTGAAGGCCAATTATTGGCACATTCAAAACTTTATCTTATTCATAAATTCTTTCCTCCAGTACATCCTCCTCCTTTCTTACTCCAATTATTAACTATTTTTATAAATCACCTTTTTTTTTTTTTTAGTCTCCAACGGCCCTTCCTACTTACATCGTTTAGAGCAAAGTCCGCTAATTCTTTCAAGTCCTCGTTTGGTATATTTAACGCAACATTCCTCTCAATTTGTTTATTTTTTAATGAATTTATCTTTGTGCCCACCAGCGCAAAGAATGATGGGTATTCAGGTAACTAATTTGATGCCAGTAGTTGAATAATTTGATTTTAAAAAATCCATCATCAAGATTAGTTGATTTCATTAATATATATATTTTTATATATGTAGTACAATGCGCGAGAATCTTTTATAGTATATTGAATGTTAAAGGAGCTAGATATTTTTGGAACATAAAAAGATGAAATTATTAAACAAACTTAAGGGTACGAAAATTAATATAGCTTTTAAGAATGTTCTTTTATGATCTTATCTTATCTTGGTATAATCTTGTTTTGAAAAATTATAAACTAATTAATCATAAAAATGACAAGAAAAACTGTGTACTTAAGCTATATGCTTAATACACCTTTTTTCCAAATCGTATTGAAATAGGTCACTTTCTTCACCTTTTACTTATATATCTTTTATATATATTAGTTTGGTTGTTAATGCTTTTGATTTTGTTTAATTCAAAATTCAATAATTTTGATTTGATTGAAAATAAATAAATATAAATCAATAAATTTTCTTGCGTAATAAAAATGATATGAGAATAAAAATCTTAATAACTTTAATTTTTCTAGTATTTTGCATATCACCATCTCAATATTTGGATGCATTATCTATAGCCAATTTAAAAATGTAAAAGTCATAGATCGACAGCAATATCTTCCTCTCTCGCATGAATAAAATACAGGGAATGTCAGCAAAACCCTGATTAGTTTACAAGTGGGGGAATGAATGAAAGAAAGAAAGAGTGGCACGCAAAATATTCACCTTATCTATTGAGATACTTCACCCCGTTTAGAATACTCCCGTGATCTTAAATATGAGACTCTTATACTAGTATATATAAGGGTCTCATATTTAGAACTGGAGGAGTAGTTTATAAGTAGTTTTTTCAGTATAATTTATAAAATATGAGGTAAGTGTGTAACATGAGTTTTCTCTCAACTTATATAAAATATGCTTATAAATGCTCATCTAAGCAGGCCTTTCATATCAAATATATGTTTATGAATTTTGATTTGATTTTTTTAAAAAAAAATTATATTTAGGATAAGAAGGAGAAATAAGAATGAATATGGTTTATGGGGATTCGAGTTTGCGGTGGAAGCAATATTTGCATCAAAACACAAATCTTTTAAATTAAGAGTAGAGAAGGGGCAGATTGTAGTTGGCTTGTAGTGGGGTCGTAGTAGTGGATTAATTAGATCCCTTCATTTAATATTTTTTTGGCCAACCCATTAATTTAATCACCCTCATTATTGCACACCACATGATTCCGATCATTTATATCCACAAAATATATGTAAGGGATACGTACTTGAATAGGTGTGTAATTAATTAATTATAAGATAACAAGTTTCATGTACACTACTCATATACGCGTACACTATGAATAAATACATCAATATAGGCAGGATATGATAGAGATGAGCTGATTGGTACTCCTAGCCCATATTTAGTATTAACCCACATATGATAACATAATAGAAAACAAACTATTTGTAATCTTAATTTATGAGGTTTGATTTTTTTTTTTTCTTTCTTCTTTTTCCACCGATTCATTCAAGTCGTGAAGGTATATATGGAACTTATTCAATAGATCTACAATTCAAATATCATATCTTTCTAATTGATAACTTATGAGAAATTTTTTTTTCGGTTTCAAAATCTACGTACATTGAAATTTCTAAAATCCAACTCGCATGCAATCCTTACAACAAAAAAATATTGATTATTCATGAGCTAGTATGAATGCTATTAATTAACTTGGATCTTATATTATCCTACCTCACTTTTATCAACTGACTTAGTCTAAAATAATAACAATGTACTTCTTCGATTCTTAATATAAGGCTTATTTAACTAATTTAATTAAATTAAGAAAGTTAGTAAGTTAGTTAATTATAAAAAATATGACATGTTTTCCTAAAATATCATAATAATCTTTTTTAATGTCCTCTTTCCTTCACTTACTTGATCATAGTTGAGGGAGTATCTATAGGGGTAATTTAGAAAAAAAATTGATAAATATGAGAAATGGGTCTTATATTTAGTACTAAAATTAATTTAACAATTAGATCCTGTATTAAGGATAAGAGGAGTATAATTAGATTATATGACTTACAACCCATACTGTTTTATTTAATCAAGTGATGTATTTTAATTTAAGTAATGTGATTAGCCTCAATCTAGGTCAATTAACAAAAGTGAGGTAGAAGAATAATATGGGTCGAAATCAAACATTCAAACTATTATGTGAACTGCAACACAAAAGTCAAGATTGAATCATATATATACAAAAGAAGAGACTAGTTAACATATATGTAGCTCGTTGTAGAAATCAACTAAAAGTATCCAAATTATGTTATCTTTGATGAGCAAGTTCATCACTAATTCACTGCAACTTATTTTTTTAAAAAAAAAAAAATTAGAGGCACAAACATTAATAGTTTGAAATTATAACCGGGATTGAATTTAGGACTCTTACTTGTAAGAAAGTCATCATAACTGTAGTGAATTGCGATTATATTCTTCCTCTTGCAAATCAATTGTGCTGTCAATTTAGAGAGAGAGAAGAAATTGGACCGACCAGCTATAGGGAGAATCCAAATTGCATGTATATAATATGATAATATGCATTCGTTTAAGCATTACTTTACTTATGCCAAAAAAAAGGCATTACCTTACAAGGTAGGACCATGAATCAATCATATTAATGTTTTTTTTAAAACGATTCTTATTGTTTTCATCAATATTTTTTATTATTTTCATTGTAAGGATATATATAATACTGAATCTATCTGCTCATACATATATACTCTTCTGGTGCTAAATATAAGACTCATTTTATAATAAGTCTTATATTTAGGACTGAAGGAGTACATAATCCTGTGTATATTGATTAGTTCATGCTAATCAAGAATT